GAAGTCGTCGGATTCCCGGCTGTGCGTATCCACTTCATGGTTTTTGAGCCTTGAGGGGCGAAGATATCGTCGTCCATAAGTCTTTGGTGATCGACGATGTCCATCTCCCGTTCTACCACTCGGCGCCATGTCATTTTTGAACGAAGAACGGTTTCAATGTCGTTTTCTACATTGCTTTCCTCCGAACTCATACGCCTTCTCCCAACGTCCTGATCAGACGTTGAAGCCACCGCCAGGCTGGGAGGTCTTCTTCGTTTCGTCGGCGTTTGTTTGACAAGATTGTCGACAACCGCTTCCCTATGACGATATTTCTGTGAAGTCTTCAGTACTAAAATTATTGGAGATTGCGGGCATACATTCCTCGAGCGTGTTTGACGAGTCGATTTCAGTGTTCGTCCTTCTTCGTAATCAACCTTTTCTCCACCTCTAGGGGGTCTCCAGTATACCTTCGCTGTGACCTTGGGCTGCGCAGCCGTCCAGATCGTACGCAAAGCGCTTGTAACGGTCTTGAAGGATTTCCCTGAAATACCTCTGACCTCTGGAATGGCCACTTCTCTTCATCGCACCTTTTCTGTATTTCTTCGAGGGAGTACATCAATATCTTGCTATTCCAGGGGTTTTGGATCCATTTTTAGATCAAAGGTAAGATTTTTTAGATCGGGACCTGGACCATCTTCGTATTCATATGAGTAGACATCCTCGCGACTCGCGCCTCATGGACTATGAAATCGGTATCTGAGTGATCTTGAAAACATCTTTCAACAAACGCGCACTTCTCCCTACTTCAATGTAAGGGGAATCCAAACTCGATACTATGTTGCCGGGCTACCAGAAGAAAATCTCTTTCGCAGCTCAGTTCGGGCAGCCTTCTCTCGCCGAATTTTCTTGCATCCTCGATCTTTTTCTTCTTGGGGACTTGCGTTTTTTAGACGAGCGGGACAAGTCTTTCTCGATGAGAATGCGCCTCTAGCGCGGCCTCCACACCTCGTGCAATCGCATCTTCCATAGGGAAGCATCATGTTGTTGACGTGGTGCATCTTTCTCGAATGATTGTTCTTGATGGATTCCTGCATGTCCGCCTAGTATCATGAGTTTACATCATATCCAACAATATACCAGACACTCACCTCCGCAGGTACTGATAAAAGGCGAGTCCTGCGCGATATTCCACGAATTCTCTTTAACTTCTTGATGGTATCAAGGCATGGGGTACCTGACGATGGCTTTGTGGATGGACGGGGGCTGTCATCCATTTCTGTATCCCTATCCGGTAATCTGTAACTCCTGGAAAACCGCTGTTCCATGTTGGCCAGCTCGCTTTCTTTTTCCGCCTGGGGCATTTCAGCATACTCATCAGCCACGAATCAATATCCTCACCCTCAACTTATCGACTTCGGACTTCAGCCTCTGCTCCATCTCGCCGAATCTCGCTTGCTTGCGTTCTAGAAACTATGTGGTTGTCATTGACCACCTTTCGTGACAAGTTATTCACCTTACCTCTTCCTCTTTCTTTCTATTGAACTCTTCTTCACGCTGAGCTAGTTCTTGCTCAAAGCGTTTGCGACTATCCTCTAGAATTTTCTGCATGCTAGTTTCTACCGCCTCGTGATTCGCATGGCCGACCGCTTCACGACTTCTCATATAATCTTCAAGCTGTTGGTGCTGCTCGGCGCGGCTAGCCTTGTCACTGTCATCAATGGGTGTCTGTCGTTCGAGCGTCCAAATGATTTACCTCGAATTCTTTGGTGAGTTGCGCTTCCCACTCTCTCAGAGCTACTTCCCACTGTTTTCTGATATCTTCCATGCTGGACAAATGTGCTTGTTGTAGGTTTTGAGCTTCCTACATGGCCGTGAGCCAGATATCCGTAATGTCTAGTGAGCTTACTAGGAACCATTTGCATCTCACGTCTCATGTGGTTGATCTGTTCCGTTTGACTGTACACCATTTCGCGCAGTTCCGCCGAGTAATCTACTTCCTTGATACGACGCTTATCTGATACCTGGACAGACACTGAGCTCGACATTAACCTTATACACCCGGACGTACCGTCTTGAACCTTTTCTCCTTATTGAAACTAGTTGGGGGCTGTCCGGTGGCATCATCTAGGTCCATCCGTGATGCCTCCCTCTTGTCTATCTGAGTCGTCCTTGCTAGACTGAAGTCTATATGATTTGCGGTTTGAAACGCGGCAGCATCTTCCATATCGTCTTCCATGTCATCATCATCAAACAAGTTCGCATCATAGGATGTTTGGATGTCTTCCTGCTCCAGCCATGGCATGTTAATAGGGTTGAGTAAGAAGAGTGTAGCGTCAACGTTAGTTTCTGGGTTCCATACGCGTTATCCCACTTATATGCAACCCTAACAATTAAATCGTGATATCATCGCATCCGCTTTTTGGGTGTTCTGTATTGTGAACGACGTTGCATGATTCTCACTTTTGAGGCTAGGCTGCGGATGTTCGGGGGCAATAGTGCCATTTTTTTACAAACAAAAAAGTCAGTTTACAAAGTCTTAAGTCTGAGATCAGGTGGGCTTACGATACTCTGCTAGATTATTGTCCGTGGTTGCTTCATTCCATGAAACAAATAAAGATGACGAATTCAGCTTGCAGAATACTCCGTGCGGAGCGTGCTTTGGGGTTAGTAAAATACTATAAGATCGCCCGCTCTCATCGCCCACTCTCATCGCCCGCTCTCACCTCCCCAGTTATCTTCAGCGCTGGTCGCCTACAGCTAATTTCATTGGTCATTCCTTTATCTTTATCACAATGGTCAACACTCGCACGTATATCTTACCCACATCGTCGGCAAGTTATCTTAAATTTCTCCTGGTCTTTCGCTTACAGCTTAATCAGACTCTTGAATTCCATGTGCGGTGTAGGCTATATTCTGCATCGTGGAGCAGACCTCGCCAGGTTACCATGCTTACACGATGTTCTGATCGCTCGCGCAACGCGAAGCGCTTTCCCGTTCCCGAGAGCCTCTTAAATGACGCTACTGTACAACCTTACGTACACAACTGTCTTGTCACCCTTCATGAAGGGAGACGCATCTATCAGTTCTGTATTTTTTTCAAGCGGCATTGTCATCTGAGAATCAACACCCTTCTCAGCAGCGATGGCAATGTATTCCGAGGTGATGCAGCTATTACTAGGGTTGGCACAAGCGCCGGCTCTGTTGTAAACATGCGGGGAAGGGACAATGCGCTAGCCGACTTTATCATGCACAAGTGAGCAGTACCCAGTGATAATCAATCCCCGCTGATTTAGAATCTATCAGCTTTATACGAAGCATTCGATATCATGGAAAACTACCACGCACTCTCACGCTCGTGAAGCCCTTGAGCGCTCGCGTTAATCATCGGCTGGCTGACAGGTTCATAGTTTGATGCTAGTAGACCGGCAGTTGATAATGTTGAATAAATTTGTGGAGTCAATAAATTGCGTAAGATGAATTTCTTGAGTCACCAAATTGAGTACCGAATATCGCTACAAGCCCAAGGTTGACTAGTCACGACAATACAAATCATCGCGCCCCAGAAGTTGAATTGTGACGGTATACGGTATAGATTCAGATTTAGTCACTAAATTAAGTACCGAATATCGCTACAAGTCCAAGGTTGACTAGTCACGACAATACAAATCGTCGTGCCTCAGAAGTTGAATTGTGATCCGAGATGCAATGGGAGGATTCGGATCTGGAATTGTCAGAACTCTATTTATATAACCCGCATTACGGCTGTACAGATAGATAGGACATAATATGAGCTCGTGGTAACCAAATAAGGAAATAATTTGAGTTGGTCGCAAACACCTGTCAATTGACACTTAAAAACTTAAATGACTCCTAATATATTGCGCACTTTCTTTCTGTCGACTCCCACACCCACCATCACTCAGCGGTTTTGTACAGCTGGAGGATGGTGTCTTAGGCGATGTCACTTTACGTCACTTTACGACTATTCACCGAGCAGTTTGTACTGCTGGGATGCTACCTTTCCTGCCATTTGTACCGGGACGACACTACTTTCTCCCTCACTGCTTCACCAAGCCGTTGTAGAAACAACAATACTGAGAGGAACAAATGATGCTCCTGACAGTATCTATAAAAAGTTGTGAGGTCGCGCGTTGCCTAGTCTGTGTTACTTGAGGAGACAAGTGCATTCGACCCTAGGGGAAGCGAGTGCTGTGAAGATCTAGAGGTACGCGCTTCAGCGAAGCGCGAGAAAGCGCATGTGCGCGCAAGGCGCGGGAACACGCGCGCGTATTAGCGCGAAGCGTGGGAAAGCGCGCGCGCGTATGCGGAAATGATAGATAGACTAGACTTAAGTGATAATATGATGCAAGAGATGTGAGAGCGCGAGATCTAAAGGAATAGGTTTCTACTATGTTCTCCTAAGTAGTAAGTAAGTAGTAATAGGTAAATGGGAGGTAAAGTAAGTTAAGTAATAGTATGTACTGCTGGCGCTTATATAGCGCGCCTAAGCGCGGTCATGCGGAGCCGAAGCGCTACCGAGTAGGTATGTAAATATATATATGAGTGAGAATGCATGATAAAAATAAAGATGGAACACTATGCTAATAAAGGAAATGGAAATATACGCACTAGGGAGCTTGGTGGACAGTGGATAGATGCATCTGGATGGCTGGCGCTATAGGGCGCGCAAGCGCGGGAACGCGCGCGCGCGGTATACATCGTGAAGCGCGGGAATGGTGCGCGCATGGCGCGCGTTGCACGGGAAAGCTGCGCATTATATAGGAATTGCTGTGGACAGTACACAGAGTGGTGCTGCGAGTTGGTGCTGTATACTCCCTTAGTGGAAACTGCCATATCACGCCATGAGAGGCATGATTCTCTACACCATTTGTACTGCTGGGACGACGCTACCTTTCCCTCTCACTGCATCACCAAGCCGTTTGTACTGCTGGGATGCTACCTTTCTCCCTCACTGCTTCACCAAGCCGTTTGTACTGCTAGGACGACACTACCTTTCTCCCTCACTGCTTCACCAAGCCGTTTGTACTGCTGGGACGACACTACCTTTCCCTCTCACTGCATCACCAAGCTGTTTGTACTGCTGGGACGACACTACCTTTCCCTCTCACTGCATCACCAAGCCGTTTGTACTGCTGGGATGCTACCTTTCCTGCCGTTTGTACCGGGACGACGCTACTTTCTCCCTCACTGCTTCACCAAGCCGTTTGTACTGCTAGGATGACGCTACTTTCTCCCTCACTGCTTCACCAAGCCGTTTGTACTGCTAGGACGACGCTACTTCTTCCCTCACTGCTTCACCAAGCCGTTTGTACTGCTAGGACGACGCTACTTCTTCCCTCACTGCTTCACCAAGCCGTTTGTACTGCTAGGACGACGCTACCTTTCTCCCTCACTGCTTCACCAAGCCATTTGTACTGCTGGGACGCTATCTTTTGTCTTCACTGCACAATAACAATGGCATCTTGCATTACCGAGACGCTATCTCATTGCATCTTTTACGGACCCATCAAAATACCTTTGTCGACGTAGCCAGCGACAAATCCGTCACACACAGTTTATTTGACCGTCATGATGCACGTAAACGTAAACTAAGTAAATCGTTACAAGCTCACTTCAACTTTAGTTCGCTTCGACGGAGCGGGAGTAACATCATTCTTCCCCTCCTTCCCATCACCCAACCTCTTGGCCTTCTTCGACAACTCATCAGAGTCCTCTTCGTCCGGAAGCGCGTTGATGTGCTTGTCGAATAATGAGACCACTTCATCAAACTCGACCTTCATCCTCTTCTCACTCATGAGGTCATACCACTCCTCTGCTAGAGGAACGAGCTTTTGGAAATAGGGGGTGAATTGTTCTCCGATGCACTGTTTCATCGAATCTCCAAGGAAAAAATAGTGCTTCGCTTCGGCTTTTTGAGTGACTTCTTCCGGCGTACCATGCCATCGCTCTGGTAGCCACATCTCCATTTTGTCAGGATCACGGTCCACGACGTCCTCAAGGCAGCGCTCTTCACCCATAGGTCCCTTGAACATTATGCCAATCCAGGCAAAAACGTAAAACATCGATTCAAGGTCGTCGTGGTATGTATGCTTGATTTTGGGCATCTTTTGGGGAGTCGAATGGTCCGTGGCTAGCTTAAGCTCTTTTACCGACTTCATACCCTGTGAGTATTGATAATTTAGCTTGCCCATTGCCCTAAGGGCGCTGACGGACATAAAGGGTATGGTTCCCTGAAAAATTAGTCATTCATTGCTCACCGAACAAATAAGGCGCCTACTGTTCCACCGGCAGAATACATATCGTCCGATGTGATGCGTGCCACGAATTCCCAGTCTATTAGCGCCCCTCGACTGCCATATTCAGTGTCTTCTATCATGGAGTTATTTAGACTGCAGTCTCTGTGCAAAACCTGGTGCTCTTCAACTGCACGCTTTTGAACTGTGACAGTTCAATCAGATATGTACTAACTAATACGACAGGCTCACTTACTTAGCACAATATCACGTAACGCTTTGACGAGCTCTTTTCTAGTTCGAAACTCATGTAAAGGACGAGCCCGTGGTTTCAAGACGAGACGGACATGCGTGCGATAGACACCTTGGGTGCTATTATAGATCTTCTGGCGATACATTTGCGTATCGTCGACTTTGCCCGGCTCTACCTCCACGAGACAGTGTTCCACGTATTGGGGAACACCAGGGATATCCTTCAGAGCTTTCAGCATCTCCACCTCATTCAACACTACACTCTTGTCGCCTTTCACCCAATGATCCTTAATAATAAACTCCTCGCCATCTCTCCGAGCCAGGTAGCAAACGGTTCTGCGGCCCACAAGTCCTTGATTGCAGAAGATCACCTTCAGCAAGTTGTATACATTTTCATTGACGGTGATCTGTCCTATCACATCGTCAACCTCAGCGTCTGTATTCTTGAGATCTGGCGCATCAACAAGGGGAGTGGAGTCTGCCTCAGGCTCATTTGCGAACTCGTCGGGAGACGGAAGATGGTCGGGAAGCAAATGAAACTTTGTCTGTGTGTCCAGTGTGTGAGATTGTGTCAGCACTATCTGCGCATCTAGTGAAGATAGCTTGCGGGGCTTCAGGCGGGCGGCTCGACTCCTTCGCTTGGGAAGACCTTTGATGTTTCGGGCCCAAAATGCCCCGGACAACAAGCTCGTCATCTTTGGGTTGATCGTGATCGTGAGGTCAAATCCAATGCAGTCACGTCGACCAAAAACGATGCATGCCATGACGCGTTTGAAAGCATCAGGATTCTCATGTATATTGATTTCTGGGGTCATGATGCCGCCTGAATGGTCATGTACATGTACACGGAGTTCGTGATAATTATTGCTGAAGGAAAGAGATAGTACGAAACGCCTCCACGGTTGCTCTCTGAAAATGAGCCATGCCTTTGTGTCAAGCGTCTTTCCGGCAGGTATTGAAGGGGTGTACGAGGTTGTGGTGAGCTCAGCGACTACCAGTATAGTGTTCCAACGCAACTCCGTGTGCTCGGATAAGCAGACATCGGGTTTTCGTTGAACATGCTCGCTTTCAACGGGCACGGTAGAACTCGAACCGTACCATAGTGGAGGAAATGTGCCTAACGAAGGAAATGATCGGAGGAGGGCTTTGGTGAGGTTGTTGAGGAAGAATGGGAATGTCTTCTCGATGGCCTCACCCTTCCTGGGAAGCGCTAAGGGCCATTGTTTTGTGGTAGTGTCGTAGAGCGGCTTGTTGGTTGAATCTACGAGGGTATCTGTTGCGGGCAAGTTCGTGGGGTCGAACGAATTGAAGATCAAAGGTAATAGATGTCCCATATCATTAGCATCTCCTTCGCGGCGGGTTTCTTGGGTGATCAGGCGATTGAGCTCACAGGATGTCAGTTTGTCCATGGAGGAGATGTCGGATTGGATGACACCCAGTGGGTGTAACGAAGCGATTTTTAGCCCGAGTTCAGACGAGAGAAAATGTTTTGACATGGCGGTTGCTGAAACGTCGCTGTTCTCAAAGCCGCCTAACAATGCTACTGCTATCACAGGAAGATAATATTAGCATATCCGAATGCAGCATGTTTGACCCAAACATATATTACTGTTCGGAAGATCACTCGTCTTGCATCCCAGTGTTTGAAATAAGGTAGTAAATGACTATGGAAGTACTGCAAGTACTGCAGGCGCACTAGAGAGTGAAGTAACGCGCAGTCACTGAGAGTACATATGTAATTGTCAATTTGAAAATTTCACACCATGTGACAAGCTTAGCACACATTCACTTGTCGGTCTTTCAATAACATGTGATATACCCACGGGATAATTAGACCAAGACAATTTGAAGCGTGTACTCTAACTAGTTCGGGCATTGTGATCACAAACATGGTAATGATAAGGGGATTCATCTAAGTTAAGTTACGGGTATAGTGAGAATGAATCAACTTTTCTGTAGATGTCATTGTATTAGCGTCGACTTTCGGAGTAGAATATACTGACCTTGGGAGTATGTTTCTTACTCTTTCCCGTAACCATCCCTGCTTCTTTCTGCCTAGCACGACCTGATGTATATTTCAGGCGCATCATGATCATATCGTTAACTGGCCAGAATTCGCTATAATTTTCTAGGTCGGGGAAAGCATCGACAGCCTAATAAACCATAAACCATGAGGTCATGGATAAATGAAGATCGAGTACTGACTTTGTCGCAGACAGTCTTCAGAAGGATAGGACTTTGGGAGGAGGCACACTTCGTCGTATCGAGGCACACTTCGTCGTATCGAGGCACACTTCGTCGTATCGAGGCACACTTCGTCGTATCGAGGTGCTCTTCGATGAGGTGGTGCATAGAATTCTAGAGGTGTCGATAAATAAAAGGCATACATCAGTGGGAGTGTGTTACTAACCTTAAACTTGGTGTATGCCTTTGGACTCCAATCCAAAGCCTCGCGGAGCGTGTATCCTCCACGCCCAGGACGACTGGGCTCACCAGCAGGCTTTGGAATCTTCGAGTCTTCTGATAAACTTGCAGCCAAAGTTGACGAGTCACTGTCTGATAGCGAATCGAAGGAGCCTGATGAATCCGAGGGAATGGGTGTCCGAGAACGAGAACGAGAACGCTCGAGAGAGACTCTCTTCGGGTATGGTGAGGAAGGATGGGTATTCTTGGATGGGCGTACTGCAAGCTTGAACTCAGGCGCCAGCGTGTTCTTGGGCTGCAAATGCTCTCAGTATGAGGAGCAAGACAAAAAAAAATGATGCTAACCTTTGGCAGGAGAATCTCATCAGTAATGAGCATAGTCGATGAAGGTACAACAATTCAGATGGTGAGTCTGAACAATGTTGGGTCTATGCAGAACCTAGCTGCTATTCGACCCTAAAGGGTTTCTGGACTAGGCTTAAGGCTCAGAGGAGAGGAAATATCATAAAAACTACTGAGCACTCTGACTCATACTGGTAACTGGTGAAAAGATTGATTGCTTATGTAAGCTACAAAAGTGCCAACATAAGGTAAGGTAAAAACAGTCTCTACAAGCCCAGCCAGAAATGAATCCCTACATCGAATGACGAGGGCTGCCAAAAAGTTCGAGCTGGTCGGTAAGCATAGGCGGGAAGGGGGGTGGAGCACCAGGCTCTGGATCGTGAAAGGGAGAGACAGCTTTCGATGTGTTGCGCATGATCTGTAAGTCAATGTAAGGTGGATCAAGATGGCGATGTGAGCGGGTCAGGCTGGCGATATTAGTGGGTCAAGCTGGCGACGTGAGCGGCTGGATCTAGTAGGTTTTATGAGTTGACACATTAGAGCAACAATATTACGTTAAAACAATAAAGACCGGGATCAACGACACGAAGTTTCGAAGCAAATTACTACGAAAGTCGTAAAGATAAGTGTCATAATTAGAATAAAAAAAATGCCAAAAGACGAAGAATCAACAAAAAGCAACAAAAAGCGAGGTTGTCTAGGAAAGGCTGACACGTCGCTCATAAAAGACGAATACAAACAGCCAGAAAGCACAAAGTCGCCATGGAATCACAAAAAGCCCCTAGTATAAAGATTGTTGAATTGAGCTAGTGAACTTGAGAACCTGACCTGAGCACACACCGATTAAGATCACCCCAGCGATGTTTTTTTATTCCTGGTCTCCATTCAGGCAGTCAACCCAACGCTTCCAGCATCAAGCCCGCCTCACAACAAGTGGGTCTGTCCACGCGCTCGCAGTATCTAATGATGGCCAAGCTCTTGCATGCGGCGGTAAATCACACGTGTTCTAATTATTGGAGCGCTAATAAAATAAACAGGCACCGAGGGCATTAAAGTCTGGGATATCAAATCTCGGAAAGAACTCACATGCTCATCTCATAACTACGAGTCCCGAGGCACAGTCAGCTGCGCTGTCTGGATTACGACAAGACTGGCCATGACAGAAACCCTTTGCTATGGAACAGGGCTTGGTTACATCGTGTTTTTGCGACGTAGCCCAGTAGATGTAAGGATGTCCTGTTCATCATCGAGTTCTCGCCTAATGTTGAACAGATGCTTTTTCAGGAGACTTGCACCAGGAGGCTCGGATCGGGCTTCGAGATTACATGTCTGTCATGGGATATGTCCTCTGAAGGGAGTACTCGGATTGCAGTCGGAACAAGGGACAAGATAGTTCAGGTACTTGTTCTAAACACGAACTCGCAACTGGAGGCCGTTTTCGCGGTGTGACTGGACAACACTGTGCCGAAGTCTGTAGCATTTGCAGACGATAAAGGCGTTTATGTATTTGGACTATATGACGGCAACTTCATCAAGCTGAAGGGGGATGACGGCGCAGTAGTGAAGGAATATAGTTGCCAATCGGTGATGTGAGGATTCACCGCAAGCTGCCGAAGTATGACTGACGCTCTTCCTGCAGCGGACATGCGGCAATCAACCAGAAGAGGGGTGTGTTCATGGTAGACAACGCAACCGACAGGTTTACGTTGTACCGACTTCTCGGTGATGAGGAGCCAGTTCGAACTTTCATCACCGCTCCTCCCAGTGTATCAGTCCCAAAGCAGGTGGCATTCAGTGCCGAAGGGAGGTTGGTGGTAGGTGGGAGTGACAATGGTTTGGTATAAATATTCGAGAGGAAAACGGGGAAGTTACTGGAGAGTCTTCATCACTCCAATGCCGGCCTGGTGCAGACAATAGCCGTAGGTGTTGACTTGATTCGGAGATGTGGTGCTGATTGTATTTCAGACACATGATATTAACGGGCGCTGCATAGTCGCCAGTGCATCGCAAGCACTAAGGCATAAGGCTACAGTCAATTTATGGGTCTACGACTATGGCATGAAAAAGGAAACCATCACCTCGAAAGAATCCTGGTCTCTGTCGTGTGCACTAACGCACATTTTCACAATCTTGATTCACACAAGTGCCCTATTGGTGACCTTATGTTTCTTGATGAACTATGTGAACTATGTTAGTCATCATTAACTTGGCAATATAATTCACTAACTTATGTCTCCAGGACACGATGGCGCTGTCAGCAGACCTTGGCCAGCGCATGAGACATACACGGGTGTTCTTCACTAATAATCTTGAAGCGAGTGTGCGCGAAGCGGTGTTGGACAAAGTACCGCATGCACAAGAAAAAAACCACGAAAAGAGCGATATCCTGATGCTGCGCGAATTGGCAGAAAGGCTTATGGAGGCCATTCGAGAGGCGGAAGGAGATGTAGGTGAAGAAAGCGCCATTGGTGAAAAAGACGAGATTGCTGCTGAAGCCGAGAGGGTATTTTATGAGGCGCTGAGGGTACGACGGGTTGATACTAGGGAAGATAGTTCAGGGGGGAAAGATGTTATTCTCATATAATGATAGACATACTGTTAACTTACGAAAAAAATTGTGTTGCTATGCCCCTCCGCTGTATGTACGGTGGAGGAGTCGAGACGAGCAGGGAAACAGATATGGTGTCCTACGAGGCAGTTGTCGAATTGCGCTGGGTGAAACCTATGCGGTGTATAACCCCTTCAGCAGTGAGTTAATGGGTGTGCTGGGTGATACTTACGCAGTGTATATATGACCCCTTCCCCGGGCCATGGACGATGAGCTCAACAGTACAAACGAAGAGCCAAGTGTACATTGATCGATTGGCCATATCGTTCTTTACCCAGGCTTGCCTTAAGTGGGTGACCAATTGGTCGTTCACGTGTGCACCTACGTATGGTCTAGCGGAGGGTATTCTTAAGGATTATCCAAATCCGAACATGTCTCCGCATCGTCGGGCGTCAAGTTGACTGGGTGGACACGCAAGCAGAGCTTGCCCATCCAAATGGCTATGAATCCATCGAAAGAGTAGTGACGTTGGAACGAGTGTATTGAGAGTGAGCTCGATAGTACAAACTATTGAACTCGAAGAGATCTGTGAATGATGATCTCGACGGTACAAAACCATCGAGCTCGAAAAATCAGGGGTAAGATAATACTACCACAACCGTACGAAACAGTTGTAGTAGCAGTAAGGAGTAACTTGGGAACTTTGGCGAAATGTGAGATGGCGAGACAAACAGCTGCAAATAATATTACGTCAGCATTCTGATTTGAGATTAAGTCGCCCACCTAAAATGAGGCGGGAGGGGTCGGGGCGCTCAATGTTAGGATGAGCTCGATAGTACAAACTATCGGGCTCGGAGAGATCGGGGGGCGAGGAACTCAATGGTACAAACCACCAAGGTCAGAAACTCAAGGGGACAATACTACCACAACCGTACGAAACAGTTGTAGTAGCAGTCTATAGTAAAGGAGTAACTTGAGACTTTGCCAAAATTTCAGATTAGTGCGACAAATAGTTACAAATACAATTATGTCATCATTGTCACAACCAAACCAATTACAATGATGACATAATTGTATTTGTAACTATTTGTCGCACTAATCTGAAATTTTGACAAAGTCTCAAGTTACTCCTTTACTATAGACTGCTACTACAACTGTTTCGTATGGTTGTGGTAGTATTGTCCCCTTGAGTTTCTGACCTTGGTGGTTTGTACCATCGAGTTCCTCGCCCCCCGATCTCTCCGAGCCCGATAGTTTGTACTATCGAGCTCATCCTAACATTGAGCGCCCCGACCCCTCCCGCCTCATTTTAGGTGGGCGACTTAATCTCAAATCAGAATGCTGACGTAATATTATTTGCAGCTGTTTGTCTCGCCATCTCACATTTCGCCAAAGTTCCCAAGTTACTCCTTACTGCTACTACAACTGTTTCGTACGGTTGTGGTAGTATTATCTTACCCCTGATTTTTCGAGCTCGATGGTTTTGTACCGTCGAGATCATCATTCACAGATCTCTTCGAGTTCAATAGTTTGTACTATCGAGCTCACTCTCAATACACTCGTTCCAACGTCACTACTCTTTCGATGGATTCATAGCCGTTTGGATGGGCAAGCTCTGCTTGCGTGTCCACCCAGTCAACTTGACGCCCGACGATGCGGAGACATGTTCGTATTTGGATAATCCTTAAGAATACCCTCCGCTAGACCATACGTAGGTGCATACGTGAACGACCAATTGGTCACCCACTTAAGGCAAGCCTGGGTAAAGAACGATATGGCCAATCGATCAATGTACACTTGGCTCTTCGTTTGTACTGTTGAGCTCATGTTCTCTTATACTTTCGTCACTCTGAGCCCGATAGTTTGTACTGTTGAGCTTACCGTTCCTCGTCGACATTTGCGAACATGGAATTTTCCCGACGATACGACCGGATTGCGTGACCACTTGGGCACTTGGAATTCCGTTGCACTTGTCTCGTCAGATCTAGATTACGGTATGTATTGTTCCATCGTCCCTTGTCATGCATCCGAATAGTGTCCATATAGGCAATCACCTTGTACTTCGTCGTTGGCATTTGTCTCTGATGCCTTGTTTGTGAGTTGCTCCATTCTTTCCTTGTTTTTTTTTTCATTTAAGTCCCGCTATGCCAGGATCTACTTCCAATCACCCAATTACCAACCTCCCTCAATTCTCCATGCCCGTAGCCCGTGCAACACTCAAACGATGCCTTTGCAAGGAGTGCATTGAGAAAGGCGGATATGACGAGAAAGGCGCACCAACAGGAGTGCTCATGGCCAAACACTTAATCGTGTCTCATATCTTGCGTGTAAAAGTGGAACGCGCCGCAGGTAACAGTGTGATTATTGACGTAGATTTTTCTGCCACTGACCTTGCTGCATGCACCTTCGCAGACAACACGTCATCAGTCGCCGTCATCGCCGACGATCTTCGTCGCTTGACCCTTGATACGGATGTACCGGTCAATATTTCTCCGAGCTCGACAGTTTGTACTGTCGAGCTCAAACCTGACACAGTACCTGTCTCGAAAAAGGGATGCAATCGACGCACCGCGAAGGCGTTGGTTGTCCTTGACAACATCGAGTCTCGGATCCAGCAATGCTTTCACTTGTTGCTGCATTCTTGTCGCATTGATCACGTTGGTCGCAAACTACATTTACTTCGTAAAGCCATGCAAAACGTCATTCGGCAGACCGATATCGTGATTGCACAAAAGAAGGCGATCGAATCGCAGGTAGACATATTGGCAACCCAGTGCAGCAGTCACGAGCCATCCGATGATACACCCGTCGAGATCAATACCGGTAAGTGAGCGTGCGGATCATCATGACAGTTTTTTGCTTATCGTTCAGTAGATACCCTTCCGCAAGATCCAGTGAACGAGTTAGATGAAATCACTCAAATCGTTCTCTTCCTTGGCGTCGCATGCAGAGTTATCATAGGGGTCAGCAGGAGTAGTTGTGATCTAATCATGAAGATCATTTCCATCATACTATTTCTCGCATTCCGGAGACCAGATAACAGCCTCAACTCCTCCCACACAAATATCCTAAAGCAGATCCCAATGACCTCAGAAAGCGCCGAGGCCAGATTCCATCTCAAGGGAAAGATTGTCCCATATGCTGTCTGCAGTTGCCATTGCACCTATCCACCAACTTATGCACCAGGCTCGACGACTCCAGTATATCCTGAACGGTGCACTCATCGTCCCATGCTCACGACCGAATGTGGCGAGGCTTTGCTTGTTGGTGCTGATGGAAATTTCCGACCCAGGAGGACCTTCATGTACCACGATTTCAAGGATTATCTGTTCGGTCTTCTCTCTCGTAGAGATATCGAGGCCGTGATGGATCAGGCATGCGACAATCTGATGGACTCCATCGATTCCCCCCATCCGTCCTTCATCAAAACCCCCTTTGAAGCTCAATTTCTCCGCCAGTTCGATGGTCCTCAGCCGGGTTCACTTTTTGTTGATAGAGGAGAGGAGGGACGCTATGTCTTCGCTCTTCATGTGGATTTTTTCAATCCGGAAGGTCTGAATATCCGCGGCGCCAGTACATCATGTGGAATCATCTCTATGGCATGCTTAAATTTACCGGTGGATATCAGATACAAGCCGGAGAATATGTATGTTGCGGGTATCATCCCAGGTCCGAAGCAGCCGTCACTGGAGAACCTCAACCACTACATCCGACCCCTCATCAATGATTTGGTAGATGCATGGCAGCGTGGTATCAAGTTCTCCAAAACGGCTTGTTACCCCCATGGCCGGCTTACTCGTAGCACTGTCGCCCCTGTTGTCTGTGACCTCCCCGCCGCTCGTCATATTGCTTCTATGGCTGGAGTTGGCAGTCACTTCTATTGCAGTGCGTGCAATTGTTATCATAAGTCTACCTGTGGAAGAGTCGACTTCGAGAAGTGGGAACCTCGCAACAAAGTAACATTGCGAGAATATGCTGAGCAGTGGAGAGACGCTGCTACATCCTCTGAACGTGAAAGACTGTTCAAGGCTCATGGCGTGCGCTATTCCGAACTCTGGCGCTTACCATACTGGGACCCCTCCCGGCAACTTGTCATTGATCCGATGCACTGCATATTGGAAGGCTTGGCCCAACACCACACCCAACATCTTCTCGGTTTAACCTCAGAGTCGACCACATCGACATCGCCCTCCCCGGCATTTGTGTGTGACTTTGGCGAAATACCTCCCAGGACAATGACAGCCAAAGAGGTAACACAGATATCCGTGATTCGCACCCTCCTCGCATCTCACGTAGGTTCTGGCGACGATAATCAACTGGAGGAACGCTTTGACAAGCTAAAAAGCACTCTGTCTCATAAAAATTCCAGACCGTTGAGATTTGCCTGCAATTCTTTACATTGTATGCCCCAGAAAGTTGGCAGAACGCTGAAGATTGACTACGTCAAGGCTCTTGTTGATTGGGTAAGCTCTTCGCTGTGATGTTTCTTGCCGTCAATTTCTCTAACACGCACTTCACAGCGTCGCGGACAACCTCTAGCGGCCCCTCGAAAAGTTCGTTCGTTCGAGACAGCAGAAGTACTTGATCGAATCCGTAACGTCATCCGTGATATGACCACCCCCACTTGGCTTGGTTCCGTCCCCAAGAATTTTGGCGAGGCATCTGCTGGGACAATTAAGGCTGATGAGTGGCGATCCCTTATCACGATCTATCTTCCCATCGCCCTCGTGAGCTTGTGGGGAGCTGGTACATCGCATTCTTCTGACGAAATTGCTGTTCGCCTCAAAACTATCCTCGATCACACTATGGAATTAGTCGGTGCAGTGTATCTTGCTTGTGCACGAACAATGACACCGAGAAGGGCTCAAGCCTATCGCTCGCATATCGCTGCTTATGTCGGAAAGTTGCAGACAATTCATCCCACCTTCTCAGTGCGACCGAATCACCATGCATTGTTCCATATATATGATTATCTGCTCCTATTCGGGCCTGCTCACTCGTGGTGGTCTTTTCCTTTCGAACATTTAATTGGAATTATACAACGCATTCCTATCAATCACAAATTTGGTACGTCCTTTCAAAGCACGAATGAGAAAGTTAGACTTAATCCTGTTAGGGGAGCTTGAAAATACAATGCTTCTTTCCTATATCAAAGCTGCAAGACTTCGCCGTTGGCTCGCCCGACCAGACTGTCCGCCTGCTATTCAAGAGTGTGGGGTCCTGTTTGATCGAGTATTCAATAAGAGCGCTACGAGTTCTATCCATGAGCTTGCCGAAGATCCTATGAATGATGCCATCAAGGTTGCCGACTGTGCAGCAACTAGTGCGGTGCCTGAAGACCTGTATACCCTCATCAGACGACGAACGGCGGTATTACGCGCTACACTCAAGTTCGACGGTGTGATCTACAGTAAGGCGTCTACACACTTGGGCAACAGCCAGATTTTCTTCTATCCTCGCGGAGATCGGTCGTTAACCCCTGTCGCCGCCAGTATCAAATACATTTACAGTACACTGACAGGAGAGTTATTGTTTGCTGTACAGCGACATATCCCGCTAGATCACCATACCGTCGATCCCTTCTCAATGTACCCTTATTTTCCGGCGAAATTGTACTCGACAGACTTCGGAACCCGCCTTGAAAATGCCAAGGTGTCATGGGTCGTTAGTCACTTTGCGCGATGGAGGGTTTCTGACCGTCACGCTGTGATTCTATCCTTATCTCGCGACTGAAACTACCTAGCAATATCTATAACTCTCCTGACTCAATTGTTATAGCTTTCAATATGAATATATTTATTTAATCTCTTGCATTTTTACAGGCGTGTGAGCGGGCGATGGGCAGGCGATGGGCGGGCGATGATCGGGCGATATATTTAATCTGAAGACAAAACTTGAAGTTTCGTCATCGCATTTTGTTGCCGCCATGAACTTGATATTTTCGGCAGGGTCTAATTGTTTGATACAACTTAACATAGTGACCATGGACCAAACTTCAAGTAATTGTCCCAAGTTGAACGTCATAATAAAACTTTAAATTCAAGCACACGCTCAAAATCTGACAATATTTCTTATTTTCGGTGACGTATGGTCAGTGCCAAAATAGCTGCCAAAGCTTTATATTTTGGATTTTGCACAAAACACTGCCAAAATTTGAAGTTATGTGCCCATATATATGTTAGTTTAAATTTCAAAAATGTTCTTTGCATTCCGGATAACATTAAAACCTATCTTAAATATTGCGGACACCGTAGTGAATGCTCTAGCACGATATGACGCGACAGACGACAAAGAGAGTGAGCACATCTGCGAGCGCGTCGTACCTCAATTCCAGCATGTAAATGGTAGTGTTGTTCTTGCCGCAATGAAGGTACACAGTGTCGCTCATCCGGCCCTTGTCATGACTTGACCTTCACATCTCAAGGTCATCATGATCCACATACGCAATGTTCGACGAGATGATCTCGTTAAACAGTTGATCCGCAAGATGGCACCACCGCTAGTCACCCTGCTATCGTCCCCGCCCGAGGTACAATGGGTCGCGCTGCGGAATATCAACCTTCTCCTTCAAAAACGATCCGACCTCCTTTCGAACGAAATGAGGGTATTCTTTTGTAAATACAATGACCCGTTGTATGTCAAGATCGAGAAGCTTGATATCATGGTACGATTGGCCAGTGATAGCAATGTTGATGCTTTGTTGAGCGAGCTGAAAGAGTGAGTCACAGCAATTTATGTATTTGCATTGCTGACCGTGCTGGTCAGATACTCGTCGGAGGTCGACGTCGATTTTGTCCGGAAGAGCATCAAAGCTATTGGCCAGACAGCCATTTTAATTGAGAGCGCAGCGGAACGTTGTGTGAACGTATTGTTAGAGCTCATTAACACTCGCGTCAGCTATGTGGTCCAAGAAGCTGTGGTTGTCATGAAGGTGCGCAGTGATATCTAGCTTTTTGTGGCCTTCGTAATGACATTCCTTTTAGGATATCTTCAGGAAGTATCCCTCTACCTACGAAGGTGTAATCCCTACACTCTGCGCTAATTTAGAGGAGCTGGACGAGCCGGAGGCGAAAACATCCTTGATTTGGATTATTGGCGAGTATGCCGATAAGATCGACAACGCGGATGAACTGTTGGGGATATTTGTGGACTCTTTCATCGAGGAGTCGTATCAGGTATTTGACTTCAGTGTTACCTTAAACTGGTGCTACAAGTACTGATCTTGCACAATAGGTTCAACTTCAAACGTTAACTGCAGTAGTCAAGCTATTTTTGAAGAAGCCTGACTCGTCCCAGGGAGTCGTTCAGCGTGTGTTGAATACAGCAACGAAGGATTGCGATTCACCAGATGTGCGGGACCGCGCTTACATATATTGGAGGCTCTTGTCGACAGACCCCGGCGCAGCGAAGGTGTGAACAATTTCTGAGCCTTGGTCGATGGTGCTGATCAACGTAAACTAGGCTGTTGTCCTTGCTCATCGGCCACCAATATCTATCCCGAGAACAACGGTTTCGCCCGCGTTGCTTGAAGAGCTCCTAGGCGAGATATCATCATTAGCAAGTGTTTACCACAAACCTGCTCAAACATTTGTTGGTCATGGACGAGTTGGTGCCGACTCAGTGCAACGCAAAGGATCAGAGTGAGTGCCCACTGGCCAGTTTTGTTTGTTTCTACTGACTCATGGTGTAATTACAGAATTTCAGATGCTCAGAAAGCCCTCCAGACGGTTGCTGCTGGCCAGCAAGCAGAGAATCTTCTCGACTTTGGTGATGATTCCGCGCAGGATGGGCAGCCTTCTGGACTCGCTGCTACTCAAATACTTCCTTCGACACCCGCTGCAGCAAACTTCCTGTCAGGCACTTCCGCGAATCCACTAGACGACCTTGTGTCGATCTTTGGTGGTATGGAAACTATGGATACGGGTGCAGGATCACTGTCAACGGCACTATCGCCGACAGTGACATCCCTGTCCTCGCCTTTCGAAGGATTTGGAGGGTCGTCGGCGCCACCGTCCCAGCCGGCTCAGAATGCGCAGCCCCAGGAGGACTTGTTAGGGTTGTTCTAATGTACTTGACATCACCATGCGCATGCACATATTTACTCGGTGCCATTAGCAGCCTTCCACGTGTGGTACACATACATGTCGGCTGGTCGATATTTTCTGTTTGAGGAATGGATGGGTTATTCATCATGTGTTCGTGGCATGCACGTTGCTGTCAAGCGCGGAGTCTAAAACTGCTGCTTCTGAGTTGAAAGTTTTCCCACCCCGTCTGAACTTCACGACTGTGATGGGATCAATCGATCATGCCAATCCGGACGGGTCAACGGTTCTGTCTGTGTCCTTCGTGTGCTGATCCCAGGCGGGTTGTGTACTATCATGATGTATTTCAACTGTAATCGCGTCACCTGAAGTTTCGCCGCAAGCACCTCCATGTGGCATCTGCCACACGTGGTACCATGGTTCAAGTGGGTTAAGGAACTGAGAGGAACGTGTAATGCGCGTTGTATACGGTCCCCAAGCAATGACTGTCCGACAACTTGCTCCATGCATCGCAGCGGATTGCGAATCATGGCTCCGAGTCGAGCGCTTGGCGAACTGAGTCTCCCATCCTGTCGTTCGGCAACTTCTCTTGCATCGATCGAGTTCTTCCAGAATCCAGCTGGCAGCGCGCGCAGGTCATCGACGTCCGACCTTTCCGCATCCTTTTTTCAATTTGTATTTGCTTCCTTGATCATTGTTTTTCACGACCCTCCCTGTGATATCTCTCGGGGTAGCAACTGCCAAGATTAGCTGCTGCATGCCTTTGGCATGGAAAGCTATGTTTATGGACATGCGGTATCAGATGCCACAGGCAGGTGGGTGTTTGTTGGAATCAACTTGAAATTGATCTAGGTTGGTCTGTACCGTCTTCACGCGTTCTTTGCATGCTGGCCTGAGGAACTAAACGTTCAGCCTGTCCTCGCAACAAGGGGGATCTATTAAATTTCTCCCAGTCTGGCTTGATATAAGTGGGCTATATCTCTAAGTTCACTTGCCCTCCCTTGCATGCCCAGACTTAGACGCTAAACGTGAAAAGTTTTTGCGCAATCATGATGATGAGGTCCCTCCAAGCCTTTGGCTCCCTGGCACTGCTGCAGACAGTTGCGTCGCAGCAGATTTGGGACATCGTGAGCCGATGCGTCCTTGTGCTGCTGTGTAGTGGACGATTCACATCTCTGTGCAGTGGCAAACCACATGGAATAGGGACATGTTATTCACTTATTTCCAGCCCAAGGACCCCATTAACTTCGTTACTCCTGGTGCTATCGGCAGCGCGGACATCGTCATCCACGATTCCTCAGTATACCAAACCGTGTATGGTTTCGGAGGATCATTGAGTAAGCTTTGCGGTCATTTCTCAGGGCCGAGTTTTAATGATGGTCTCTCATTGGTCTCTCAGCCGATTCTTCTGCTAAGTTATTCAACAACTTGAAGGCATATCGCATGTTCCGCTCGCTGCGTGTGGTGTATTGACAGTATTTAATAGGTACAAAATTCTGGAAGCTATTGGAAGCTCATGGATTATCTATTTAATGGTGCATTGCTTGCCTTCGGATCGGCGATGTACTAACCCCTTCGTCATCAGCTACGGATGGTGCTAACTCAGCCGGGTTCTCCTATATCCGCGTCCCACTTGGGGCGACAGACTTTTCTGCCAATAGTAGGTGTTTGTCTGCTCCACATTTAAAGGGACTGACGAATAGCGTTATAGCCTACAGTTATGACGATACCAGTGGAGACACTTCACTGAACAACTTTGACATCAATGCTGCACCGTCTGATGTTTTCTCGGTTATTCAAGATATTATATCTATCAATCGTATGGCCAGATTCCACATCGTACCATGGTCGCCGGTATGCAGTCCATTTGGTGTACCTATCGATCACTTAATGTTGGCACCTAGCCTGGTTGGATGAAGAGCGGGGGGACTATGCGCGGAGGCTCGCTAAATACTCATTATATCAACACAAGTGAGCCATTCGAGTACACCCCCTACATGGATGCGCAGCTGACGACAATTACAGTGGCAAACTACCTCTTGAAGAGCGTGCAGGCATTCTTGGGTAAGGGGATTCCGATTTACGCAATCAGTATCCAGGTATGTTCATTACGATCGACTCACTCTCTGATATGACTATCCCACAAGAATGAACCGGAAAACAGCGACTCTACATACCCGACTTGCAATATGACGGTGGCAACTGAGGCTCAGATTGGGCTGGCTCTGCGCACGTTGTTGAACAATCATAGCTTGTCGAGTGTCAAGATCATCGGTTACGACCACAATTGGGTGGATGCTGCCAACTACCCGGTCCAACTGGTGCGTGATGCTCCTGGGCTGATTTGTGCGCGTTGCTGAGACGTTGGCAGATGAAACAAGCTGGAAGTGCCTTCGATGGGGTATCTTTCCATTGTTATCGGGGTTCCGTTAGTGACCAGGCCTTGTTCACATCCCAGTATCCGAACAAGGTATTTCAATTTGAGCTTTTGATCGATCCTTCCCTTAGTGAGTCGTTCAGCAAGTGTACTTCACGGAGTGCTCGGGAACCCTTGGCAGTGACTGGTGGAACGATATCAAGGTATCCGTCTACGATCTATCTTGCGTCGGACGAAATGAACTAATTCAGTTACTAGTGGTATATGGATAGTATGTATGTAGCTAGTTCCTGAACTTGGTTATCCTCTGATCTTGTATGGTACTTTCAAGCTTCATTGGCAGCATCTCATATGGTTCCTCCTCTGGATTGATGTGGAATCTCGCACTTGATGGCAGCGGCCAGCCATTACTTCCAGGAACAGGCAGCTGTGGTGGTGGATGCCGTGGTGTAGTCCAAATTAACAATAATGGGACCTGGAGCGTAAATCAAGAATTTTACTCCATGGCTCAAGCCTCCAAAGCCATTCTTCCTCGCGACGCCGGCGGTCCATGGGGCCAGCGAATTGGTGTGAGCGTCGGTGGGTCGCTTGACTGGGCTCTTGTGGTTGGCGCCTACAAGACGGGTAGGGTTTCATCGAGCGACTGGAACAGGTACAGCATCGTCGTACTGAACTGGTAGGGATTCTGGGATTCCAACTGCATGACAAGATTCTGATCCTTCGTCAGGGATGACAGTGCGTCCACCACTTGGAATCCTCAGCCTGTGAAGGCCACTATCGAGTTTAGAGGTATGCAAGTAGGTGAACCTTCTAAATATTTATGGATAAGTTTCCTGATCATCATCATAGGCTACGTACACATTCCCCGTTGGTGTCACCACCCTTTGGTGGTATGCTCCCAACTAGTTGTATCTTGATTTTTTGATATGTTTTCACGTCCCTGGGTAGCTGTGGTGATTTAATGCTGGCTTCTTTTACATTATTTGCATCACTATCATATGTATCATGTCGTACAGGACATGCAAGAGCATCAAGCCCAAATTGCATATGATTATAGGATTGTGTGTTTCCTTTTCAATTGTTGTTCTTATGGTGTCGAGACTCGAGAGATATACTCGTACTGATCTTCGATACAGCAACTCTTTTATAAACAACTGCCCACACAGGGGTGGGATCGATTTTACCCCTATCCAAATCTTCCTCTTTACTGTACCCATTGGCACAATGCTGAAACCAGTAGTATATATACGAGCAATCCTTTACATCTGCTTTCAAGCCATCTACACTATCATCATCCAATATCCGTGGTTCTCTTCCTGGGCCCCAGTAGCCACTGTTGTCATTATGGCAGCAACCTGGCTCTTAGCCATCGTCCTAATACGAATCCCAATTACTCGCAGAATTTTCCTAAAGGAACCATTCAAACTTCCCATACTGTGCTGGGCCTTCTATGGATTGTTGGTGGTAGCCGTAGTGATATATGATGACAATGGTGAGACCGCAGAGGCGAGGTCACTAGCAGGTAAATTTGCAGCAGCTTGAACTTCAGGAACCCCGACTAACATGCTAATACCATAGATTTTCTGGAAAGAAAGGCCATGGTGTTGAGTTCTTTATTGGCATATGCGCTATATTGTTTGGTCACGTTAAGTGTGTGGGTCTGGAATTCGAAGTGGAATTTCTGGACGCATGATCCGATCGCGAAAATGTGGTGGCTCATCAACTTGGGCCCGGTCATGGAGGAGTTGTTTGTATATTCCCCGTTGGTAGGTATTTCATTCAGTATTCATAACCACACTAAAATCACGTTCAAGCCTGATGATGATCCTGATTTGTTGCATCTTTCAAACTCGCAACTTGATGGGAAACCTTTCACATCCGAGGTCTGAATGTTCACAGCACTGGACTATCTCTTCTAGACCTGGCTCCTACATATCGTCGCTCGATATCGCTATACATTTCACAGGCACTTTGGGTGTGCGCCCACAATGAAGTCTTTCAAATTCTCCATGTCCGTTCAATCAAATACTAGTTCAATGTCTTCGTGCGGTCTCTACCACGACATTTTTTTTCACTTTAAATGAAGTAGGAATGTCATGTTCCCTTAGCAGAATGCAAACAACATATGATACTTTCGTGATGACCCGCCTTCTAGGTAATCTTTGCTTTCTCGCGCCCTCCCGCCATTCCACATGACCAACCTATCTGTTGTTCAAACGACGTAAAGCACCAAGGTGTCAGCCCAGCTGGCCTTGAAGGACTCGGTAAGCATTCGACATAAAGAAGCTTGACGTTTGGCATACGCCATCCGCCCCTCAAGGCCTCACGTTCATCTTCATCTCCAAAGAAGTTTTTGGTGTTACCAAATCCACGAGTGTCATGCGTCCGAACAAAGACAGCAAAACCAGAATGGCCAGTTGTGTCTGCCAAGTAACTGAGCGTGTTGTGGTAAGACTCGATTTTCTCTCGAAAGAAGAAATGAGTGAGACAACGACGATATTGATACTTGGACGCATCTACGGTGTGCGTAGGGCTCAAATGATACCTCATAGTTCTGCGCCCTCGCTATTTACAAACATATCTCGAGGCACTCAGATCTCCGTTTGTCAAGGGTGGCGGCGCGTCCTAGCACGCTCACGACAGCCGCTGTCAGCTCGCCAATTCTATGTGCATCTGTCCATTTTCATCAGTTAACGACAAGGAATTTGATGCAGACGTACCTTCCCATCCAGGGTAGTATTGAAATAGACCGTAGGTCCGATCATAGGACGTACGGCCCTACGATAAAAATTGTTCCATCCACAAATATGATTGACTTCGGTCAGCGCTACATGTGTTAGATTTATGGGAGATCATAGGTCCATTTTGGTAAGTAAGAGTGGCTTATCGCCTTCACGGAATTCGACAGGAGCGCAGAATAAACGCACCTGTGTTTGGTGACTGCCGGTTCGGATGTTATTAGGCTGCCGCGTTCGTAAGCCTGGTTTTACTGTTCGATTTTCAACTTCATACAGGTGTCGACACTAATTCAGGGAGTGATATTTTTGACTTGGATGGTTCTAAGAGAAATGCACGAGCCAAGGTTCACGAAGTTATGTGGGCTTGGCTTGAAAGGGACAAAGGAGGTTACAATGCTCCGATGATGAGTCACCAGCACTTGATGCGAATCCACATCCTTGGGTCTCTGCACGATATATCCTTACTAGCTGAGGATGACTGTAACCTGCTCTAGGACAATCCACAGCATATGACCTGATCTTGGAGCGGCATCCACCCGCGTGGTTCTCGCATGCCATGGCGCAACATGAGTTCCAAAGAAGGGGAAATTCAGAGCATGAAATTTGTCTTCGAGGAGAGTCCACGGTAGAATCATAATCCATGAGCCGGAAGTTGAAGGTCGCAATCTTGCACTGAAATGACGAAGAGCTCGTTTGACCTCATTTTCAAGCTCGCTATATTCAACCAGCTTCGCGTTGAGTCGCATTCTCGTAGGCCAAGTAGTGTGCTGTAGTATGCAAACGTGAGAGTCAACAATTAAACAATTAAACAACAATACAACAAGCGTTAGCTATCGGGATTCGGATGTGACGCTTAGAATCCGAGGACCGACTCGGAGGTCAACCAATAATATTCCTTCTCTTCATGCACGCACAGCGAATTTTGCTGCACCAAGTTGACGACCATCTAAAATTCATTCAATTGCGTGTCTGCACTTCTGCCGTTATATTCGAAACCATTGCAAAGTTGATGCGAGTGCGGCCTCAGAGAGTAGGCCCATCAAAAATGACGCAGAGGATCTTTGACACGCACCGCAAGCTGTAAGGCGCACTGGCAGGAGGAGAATAGGAAGGTCATATGACAACAAAATGACAATCGATCTTCAAACATCAGTATTGAAACCATGAATGATCATGACCGGAAATATTACCTGGTCGACGTTTTGCCGTACTTCGAAAGTCTATACCAATGCGCTGGTCGTACATTGCAGTGTCAAAGATACCCCTGTGTCCTCAGGTATGACTTTCTGCTCAGCAATAACACAGTTTGATCTTTATAACCAGTTATTTCATGCACATGATGTCCCTCCATCCGATCCAGACTTCTGGATTCAGGCCGCACCAGGACATGCGAATGTCGCTTCTGTGCTGTGTTCACGAGCCGCAGCGATTCAAAGCAATGCCAGAGACGACTGTTCAACGGTGAAGGCGGTTTTTGGTGCTCCCTTGAGTCGATGTCATGGGTAAGTGAATTTTCGCTCCTTTACCGTTCACGGTATCCGTACCGCCCCGGTCCGCCCGTCCTTCGGGGCCAGGAGGTTATTCCTTGCGATTTATGTTGTCTTGCTCTTCGTACAAACACTAAAAAGCAATCGGTTGTAGGCTCTCAGTTGGCTGGCAAAGACACACCTTTACGTCAATCGACTAATGTTGCAAGGGGCGATTTCCTTCAACTCGACTGTGTAGATTTGAAGATAGGAAAATCAAATTTTGATCGAAAATATTCTCTAGCTTGGTTAGAGGAGTCAAGTTGGGCCAGAATCTACGACGGCATGTTACGATGTGATAAAGGAAACCAGATAAAATTGTGAGTACGTGCAAGGAAATGCAGTTATGGTGATCTCTTCCGTGAAGCTTCGCTCTTGAGTGTCCTCGAGTTGGATGCTGGCTGTCTCTAAAAGCACGGGTTTAGAACGTGATGCGAGAGGTGTACATTGAATTTTGCATCGCCTGTTGCACCTCGCGTGGGTTCGTTCTTGGTGACCGTTGTTGACCAGTTCACCAGACTGTTTCTCCCAGAGCACCGACAGGACTGGTGGAGACCTGATGAGTCTTGTCACTTATGCGAATCGGCCATGGACTTACGATTATTCAACTATTTCGCGGAGCCAGAAACATAAGTTGTGATGCCCCAATCAGATTGTTGACCTCAGGGGAACACAAACATTCCACGGTTCATCAACAGCGCACTTCTTTTTTTATCATCGTGCACTTGAAACAAGACTGAACAACTCAAGTGTGGAAGAAAAACTGACGCATCAAACAAAACAACCACCGTCCGTTTAGTGAATAATGGCGCCCAAAAGACAATCTTCCCCGAAAGGAAGTTCCCAGTGGAAACAAACCTCGAGAATACCAGCGCTGGATGAGCATATACAACGGTGGCCTTCACCCTCTGTCCCTCATCTACTGGACTTTTTATCACCACGGACGCA